TGTGCGTCGAAAAGTTTGATGATGTGAACCATGGGTGAAGTGTCTCTTTTGGCCGCCCCTGTACAGGACCGTAGCCTATCAATAAACCATTGTCAACAGGCTATCCCAACTTCAAGGAATCCTCCTCGGAAAATTCTTGCATTCTTTCCTAACATGAATATGTCAGTTGTGATCACTAGAGACAGCATACAAAGTTTCACGCACGAAGATTCGGTTTCCGAAGAGAAACAAACTTACGAAAACCACACTCTATGGACATCGAAGGCAGGTCGGACAGAGACGCATGGAAAGAAGTGCGCCTTGGGGCGGCCACGAATCGTGACGCATTGAATGAATCTAATGGAAGCATTCGATTTTGGAGAATAGAGACAAAACGATCTATAGGATAGGATGTAGTAGTGTGAAATGTTAGTGCAGTAACTCATAAGGTAAAAAAAGTTCTTAGTGACGGCACAACGAGAAACAAGTAAAAGTTACAGCCGCCAGCATTTGTGGCAGATATACTGCGGGAATTCGAACGCGTAACAGCCCTTCCGGTTCTTCGGCTTCAAAAAGTGATTAATAGGTGAGATAGAACGCTTTTTCCGGGTAGGATTTCTTCAAGTGAAATTGTTACCTTTTCACCTTAAATTTTCGCTTCTCTTGACGCCAGGTCGAAGAGGCCGAACAACATCAAGGTCTGGTGTCAGAGTTCGCGATCCGTCGCAGGTTTCGCTAATTTTCGCGACATGCGCAATTCAAGCGATTTACACCTTTACATCTAACACGCGACGGATCGCAAAAATCGCAAATGCCCCATTTGAACATTTGAAACACTGAATATGAAACAAGTGGAATCATGAGCAGTCGTCATTCAGCCATCACTATCAAGCAGAAGTGGGCAGGATTGGAGAACACCTTGCAGTATTGATCGGGCACTTGTGATTTCCGTGACCCGTCGCGTGAATCGCGTGAATCGCGCAAATCGCGAAAATCAGCGAAACCTGCGACGGATCGCGGACTCTGACACCAGCCTAACTCTAATTCAAAGAATACTGAAATCTCGGACAATCTACAACAATGCCTTAAATTTTCCATGGCGAGATTAAGAGAGTTGCTGAACTATTCTTAAAAACCATTTAATGATTTCATTACATAGCGTATAACAATTAACATTACCACAGGGAAACCGTATTGCGAACAGTCACTACGCTCAATAGCTCAATATGAACAACAACAAAATCAAAGAAAGAATGTACATTAGAAACGCTAAGGAATCACACACTCTGCCGCAGCTGATTACGCAACTCGATCACTTTCTCTCTGTCACCCGGTGGTAGCATGGCGATTTCTGCTTCTGTGAGTCTCATGACTTGCACCAACAATTCCGCATTATGTTGTTCATCTGGTGTGATTTCTGGTTGCGGTGGTGGCTAAAAAAACAAGAGGTACTGGGGATAATGAATCCTGTCGCACTATAAAGGTAGCTGCGCTCTTGAAAGAATAGTTAAGCCGTTTAGCAGCGCTAGCGAGGAAATCCTAACAATGCATTTTTGGAATCAACGAACGCTTCGCACTGTGACTACATGATGCCTATAAAAAACTTTGCGCATATCAGAAAACTTTCCCTTCCACAGAGTGCTCCGGTTTGATGGAAATCTCGCGGCAAAATATTCCTCTGTCCGTTTGCTAGCGAAGCAAGGCCCTGTTCACAGTCCACATCGTTCAGAATATGCATAACGTCATCCGGTATCCCATTCGAGCTCAAGGAGGGCTACAGCAGATCCTAGCTAGCCAGTGGCAACGAGCCATCCTTGAATTGATTGAAAGAGTTAGGCAGCTTCTTCAGGCTGAAGCAGCTACCTGACTTCTTCGATCGATTCAATGATGGCTAGTTTCCCAAAGAGAATCGCTCTGGCTATGCAGGACCCCTGCCCTGCCGAGCAGCATCTGGGACAACGTTGTAGTGGCCCACGATCCGTCGAGGACCTCCTCGTTCTCAAGATTTGCATCATGTTTCCTGGCAGATTCTTCTTATTCGCCCATATAGATTATTATGAAGTTGTTCAGTAAATCCCAATAAGCTCCTGAACGTATCTTCAAAGCATCGTGTTTGAGCTTGATCAACGCAATTTGAATTGAGATAAAGCTTTTCTTGCCCCCCCCCTTCCCCTACCCTAGTTCACTGTTACCATGTTTAACCACACAAAAAACCTGAAGAAAGAAACGGTAGTAAGACTAGGATGTTCTGTTGAAGAGATTAGATATTGATCAGGACAGTAGCAGAATAGAAGGCTAGGCGTACTCCAGCGAATTGATTAACACGTTTCTAATCGTATCAGCACAATCCCCTAATATTCTGACTACCCAATCTCCTACACTCCTACTATTCCAATATCTCACCCTATACCCTCAGGCAATTTCAATCGACAAGTATCTAATCTTTCCAGTGGAATATCCTAATTTAATACTTCCC